GCTCTGGCTGGGCCAGTCAAGAATGGTCACAGAGTTGTTCCGAAGCCACTCCTTTGTTATTTTAGCTGTGTGCTTAGGGTCATTGTCTTGTTGGAAGGTGAAGCTTCGGCCCAGTCTGAGGTCCAGAGCACTCTGGAAGAGGTTTTCTTCCAGGATATCTCTGTACTTGGCCGCATTCATCTTTCCTTCAATTGCAACCAGTCGTCCTGTCCCTGCAGCTGAAAAACACCCCCATAGCATGATGCTGCCACCACCATGTTTCACTGTTGGGATTGTATTGGGCAGGTGATGAGCAGTGCCTGGTTTTCTCCACACATACCGCTTAGAATTAACACCAAAAAGTTCAATCTTGGTCTCATCAGACCAGAGAATCTTATTTCTCATAGTCTGGGAGTCCTTCATGTGTTTTTGGCAAACTCTATGCGGGCTTTCATATGTCTTGCACTGAGGAGAGGCTTCCGTCGGGCCACTCTGCCATAAAGCCCCGACTGGTGGAGGGCTGCAGTGATAGTTGACTTTGTGGAACTTTCTCCCATCTCCCTACTGCATCTCTGGAGCTCAGCCACAGTGATCTTTGGGTTCTTCTTTACCTCTCTCACCAAGGCTCTTCTTCCACGATTGCTCAGTTTGGCTGGACGGCCAGGTCTAGGAAGAGTTCTGGTCGTCCCAAACTTCTTCCATTTAAGGATTATGGAGGCCACTGTGCTCTTAGGAACCTTGAGTGCTGCAGAAATTCTTTTGTAACCTTGGCCAGATCTGTGCCTTGCCACAATTCTGTCTCTGAGCTCCTTGGGCAGTTCCTTCGACCTCATGATTCTCATTTGCTCTGACATGCACTGTGAGCTGTAAGGTCTTATATAGACAGGTGTGTGCCTTTCCTAATCAAGTCCAATCAGTTTAATTAAACACAGCTGGACTCCAATGAAGGAGTAGAACCATCTCAAGGAGGATCAGAAGAAATGGACAGCATGCGAGTTAAATATGAGTGTCACAGCAAAGGGTCTGAATACTTATGACCATGTGATATTTCAGTTTTTCTTTTTTAATAACTTTGCAAAAATTTCTACATTTTTGTTTTTTTCTGTCGAGATGGGGTGCTGAGTGTACATTAATGAGAAATAAAATGAACTTTTTTGATTTTAGCAAATGGCTGCAATGAAAATGTAAAGGGGTCTGAATACTTTCCGTACCCACTGTATATTGAATAAGACATGCTCAGCCTTTCACATAGAGCTCAAGAATCAGGGAGAATGCCACATGAGTAGGTGTAGTTCCGCTGTCACCAAAGCCCTCCTTTCAAACACCAACACTTTTATTTTCTCTGTGTACAGTTTATGTCCTCTCACTTTTATTCATCTTCTTCTTCTTTCCTCCCCTGAGCGTAGAAAAGGTGTTGCCATGGCAACATTTGTGTCCTTTTACAGTCCACCTACACAATCCGGGTCAGTCAGTAATTTGGAGTTTGCCGCGCGAGTGTGAAGTGCAACTTTGAGAGCTGTACTGCAAACTAACATCAATTAGGAGCTTCGGCAAGAGAATACAGATGCATGATTAGCTCTTATGTACCAGCCGGTTTAGGGATGTACACAAATAAGAACAATGTGAGCAGATCATTTCCTCTCAGGAGACATAATAGTATCTAATTGTTTGCAGTAGATGTTTTTCTCCTTGTCCCTGTACAATATTCAGCGAGGTACGTCCTCGATAATTCATCAGTGACCATAATTACTGTGCATTGCAGGATGAATTATGTACCATATAGTTATTTGCTACTCAAGATCCAGTATCAAGGCCTGGCGCCCGGGACGTCTTGAGCCTGAATAGCTGAAGTTGGGGTCGGTCTCAAAAGTGCATTAAAAATGCCAAGAGAAGATATATTTATAATTGGTTTCTTTCTTTTTTTTTCCATAAGACAAACCAACTGCTTTCATTTAGACCTCCACCCATTGCATACACGTCCTTTAAAAAAAACTACATTGTGACCCAATGAGCTACTGTATAATTACCTTTTTTTATTTTGTCAATGGCTGATTTTCATAAAAATACACTTAGGACACTTAAAATCTAACTTATTTTGATTGAAGCCTCCTACCAACAACTGATACTACACAACCAAATGAATTCATTGGTACCAACCATGTAATGCGATGATGGAAAATGGAAAACTGGCGTGGCTATTTTTTAAGAAGTCCCTTGACCTCTCACCTCAAGATATGTGAATGAAAATTGGTTTTATTGTTACCGACAAGTCTCCCCTTTACAGACATGCTGACTGTATGATAATCGCATGCAGTTTTTTTGCATGCCGTAAAAATACGTTATTTTTGCCTTTTAGAAATATTTCTGCCTACTGGAGTCCCTAAACAGTCTTGCAACTGTAAAACCACAAACTGGAGACCACAGGCATTCAGGGGATGTATGGCTTTCCTTGGTATATTGACAACTAGGGGGTTTCTGAGCAGTTTCAAGAACAGAAGCACTCGCCATCCAATCGTCGGAAAATGCAATTCTTATCCCAATGTCAAGAGTTTTTGATACATGTCTTATTCTATTGTGTTCCTCATGGTCTCTGTGTTTTAATGTGATCTTTTGGAGGGATTTTTGACAATCTTTATCTGTTGTGCAGTGGTAACACTTTTTTTTGATGTAGCAAATTTGTACAACAAATGGTATCAAGCCAAAAATTGCAGCAACAACTTATGAGACATAATTGAGCATGGAAATGGACATCATATACCTCCATCATAATGCTCTAAGCCCCTTTTATACTCTCATCATTAATTTTTTATCAATAAATTATTTGTTATTTCTGAGTCATGACTAGAGCAACTTAACAAACAATGTTGAGATGCATCTCAAATTAATCTTCAGGTCCCTAGCTTTCATTTGAGAGTTTTTTTAAGGTCTACCTTTATACTTACCTTTATACTTTTTTTGCATTTCTGGTTCCCTCGTCTCAAAGTCAATGGGTTTTTTAAATGGGTTTATGTCTAGATGCCTGACATAAGGACTGCACAGTCTTTAGAATGTTATGTAGTTGGTTTATAGCCTAACGTCAGCGATTGCATTCACGCTTCATCAATCATATAAGGGGTTTTCATTTGTGAAGATTATCTTGCTGAACAAAGCGTGTTAGTATCATAAACTTGTGTTTGCCTCAAAAAAAATGTCTGCGATAATCCAAAATCCAACGGAAAAATCCCTCTGTCTTTTGTCAAGGGAACCAGTGCGATGCTAACTTCTGGGGTTGGCCTACACAATACGTCATCCCTGCAGCCCTCTGTTGTTTGGTTGGTTGGTATTTAGTTGGTTACGGTTGCATCAGTTTTGCTTCCACTAGACTAGACTCTCAGTCAGACAGTTTAAGTCCTGGATGGACACTTTATAATAACTACACGCTATGAAGCGTTAGTTAAGTATGAGTAAACACTTAATTCATCATTTATAAAGCATTGTTCCTACATTAACACTCACAATTCATTGTAAGGCATTGATAGTCCTCACTTTAGATGAGGCCACACAAAATACTTAACTAACGACTAGTAACTACCTGAATTAATCATGAATTGCAGTATTAATGTGTTTACAATGCACATATTAACATAGTCCCTAACCATTAGTGCATATCTAAATCATTATATATATAAATGCATGAATAATGTACATCTAAATAAGTTCTTAAACATTTACTTACTCTTTATAAAAGATGTCATTAATCATCTACAACTCCTTAATAATTAGTTTGTAATATATATATATATATATATATATATATAATACCTAATTTACAAATGGGAAATCGATCATTTATAAAGTATGAAAACACAATCATGAAACAGATAACAGACGAGCTTATTAATCAAGAATAAAACATTTATAACTATTGTTATGAATTGCATACTAATGAGTGTTAATGTATGAACAATGCTTTATAAATGATGAATTAAGTGTTTACTCATACTTAACTAATGCTTCATAGTGTGTTATTATAAAGTGTTACCCATATATCTTTGAACTAGGAAGCATCTCGTTCTGTTTCTCTGTCCCTGTTTTACTCTCTGTGTAGCTGATCAATGCTGACACTAAAACAGATACAGCAATGCTTAAAATGATGAAGACATACACCAACCACTACATTACAAACTGACTTTTCCCTAAAACACTGAAGCGATGGACGATGGAGATGACTGCAGGCGTCATGTTGAGATTTCATGAAATGTTGGAATAGCTTGTTTCTTACGTTTACGAAAGGTTGCAAAGGAACGGAAATGAATGCCTGAATCACAAACTCCTCCGCTATTCAGAGGAAAAAAACATTTAAAAAGTTCTCAACAATTTCAAGGCCAAGGTTTAAAATGAATAGGTAGAGCGCTCAAAACATCCATCTTTTGGAGGCAAATGAAAGTAAGCAGTAAAAAGATTTTTTATCAGAATGAGTGGATACAACAACAAAATAATGTCAACCTACAAAAAACTTTACAGGCATAGTAAAAAAATTAACTTTTTATATATACAGTATATGCTGTATATACACGCATTTAGCAGTTGAAAAGACATCCTCAGACTTCCTCAGGAGTTGTCAGAGACTATGATAGAGCTAAAAGTAGAATGAAGAGTGGAGTTACATTCATCAGGTTTAACAGAAATACAACTTTAAATCAATAACTGCTGAGTATCTGCTGGATGTGTAACCAGGCAAATGTTTGCATACATACACGTTTGCTGTTGCTAAACTATAAGTGATCACTTGTTGTGTTTACTACTTGTTGTACCTTCCACAAGTGGCCAACATAAATCAGTTAATTCAGATTTATCTCTGAAGTAACATAATCATCATTGTAAAGTTTGCCACAAAGACGGCTAATTTTACGTTGCAACTCAATTAGCAGTGTTTCTCAATCTTCTTCCAGTCATTGTTTTCTGGACCGTTCCCTACTGCATTTTAAGGATCACGCCATCATCTCATGACCTCTGCTTTCTGTCTCTCTGTCATCTGTCAGGTGGCGAGATGGGAGCATCGGACACGGACACTCTCCAGGCTCTTTGGTAGCCCCTACCTGGCCTGTTACTGCCTGGGCTTCGTCATCATTCTGCTCAACGTGTACCGCAGTCACAGGTGAAGCGCACACTCTGCTGCTCATTCCGCTCAATTCATGTCATTTTATTTCCATCCAGATCAGCTCACTTTTGATCAATTCCAGCCCGTTTCTCTCTCAGTCGCCCTTCTTCTCATACATCTTCCTGTTCTGCTTCCGTGTCCTCTTCTGCTGCTCTTTTCTTCCTTCCTCCCCGTCCTAATGTGGGCCCACGGTTCTGGATGTGCCGGTGTCACCCCCACGCCTGCCATCGCACAGCACCCAGTGGAAGTACACGCTCCCACAACTCCCGCTGTGGATCACAATGGTCACACAGTACCCTCTACCAAACCTCCCATAGACAGCATGCCAGTGCCAGAAGAATTTTTTCTTTTCACATTTCTTTTCCTCTCTCTGTTGCCAGTCAACAACACTTTTGGAACAAGCTGCTTCGAAGCGATAAATTGTCTCGCCAGTTTTCTCTCGTGTCTCTGAAAAGAATGTTTATCAACGCACAGAAACACGCAACATGAGAAACTAAAAATAGTAGCCGCACATAGCAATTCATTTGTTCAGATGTACTCTTTTAAACACATTGTAAAGCATTTGAAATGCTTTTATATGCACGATTGCAATGTAATGACAGAGAAAATTCCAATAATTGCGTGTAAAATGTAGTGAGAGAAAGTTAGAGGGAAGAGAAAGATGCACCATCAGTAAGGATGGTGAGGGCACTGAGCGTTGAGCACCTGCGAGCATTCCAGCTGTGCTGGCACGGTGCAAATGGTTTTCCACAGGACAGCGTAGCCTGCAGGGTTGCACAGACGGCAGTAAAGAGACTTTTATTCTGCAGCTCTTCATCCAACAGGTCACCGTTACATATGTTACCCTTCCCTCCCATTGCCATTCATTTTCCATAGACGGTGTTACGTGACCCACAGGTCGGACATGACACTCTCAGTCAAATCATCCGCAGAAGAGATTAACAACTGTGTTCGACTGACGTCTGGTTCCTCGAAAGCCGAAAGCGCAAGTCTGTGTGGGCAGTAGTGGCGTTAAAGGTTAGAAAGGATACAGTAGATCTGTGTTGGGCTTCCTGGCACCACCGATGATGACGTGCCCATGAGCAAGGCCCCTACTCCCAAACTGCTCCAGTGCTGCTCAGTGGCCAGCAGCAGATCGGACTGTGGTGGATGTTATGTTATGTAACTCGTGATCAGGGCATTCCTGCTAAAGAGAAGCTTTCTCCCTCTTTGGATACAGCAAAGCTGTGCTTTAAAGAAAAGTTTAGCACAGTGGATCACGTCAGCAAGGTGGTCTCCTGCCCTGAAGTCGCATTGGAAACACGCAGTTTCTGAAAACGGCACACCTACAGCGGTTCTCTGGAAAAAAAACACGATTGCTGTTTGCAATCTCAACAGACGAACAGACCAGCGCACTAATTACCTTACAGCCTCATTGTTGTGCTGCCTAATTGTCCACCTAATTGACTTACGTATACATCGACTGATTCACTGGCCTGCTGATTAGCTGACTGACAGCCCCTTCTTTTTATAGCTCCACTGGATTTATAGGCTGCTGGACAGACATGCAGGGGATACAGAGAGCGCATTGTTATCTGCTAAGCACACAACAGTGATGCTCTGCGCCGATTACGTTCAATAAGAATGCAACCTTTAGGGAAAGCTCCAAGGGCGTCTAACAAGTCTTTTTTTTTTTCAATAACTGCGTGTGTTTAATTGACATTCTTGCTATTAATGAGATGGGAGAATTGGGATTTAAACATTTAAAGTAATTCATTTATCAAATGCAAAAATGTTACACGTCTACTCCCCCTGTGTTTAGGCTCAGGAAATATTAAAAGCTAAAAAAAGAATATCCCACAACTCATTTAGAAATATCTTTTAATGTTTGGAAACTACAAGCACAACAGGCATGCCAGCTGCTCACGTGCCAGGAAAGCAAACTAGATGTAAGTGTAATCAGGTTAAATCATACCTAGATGCAATATGGAGGTGAGATGCATATTAATGCACGGTGTATATGGAAATACACACATGCGTTGTGGCAGAGGTGACATTGTGGTTGTAGTAAACTGCTGCTCCACATTTTTTCATCATTGATATAGGAGAAGGAAGAAAGCATCACAGGTGCAAAGATAATGTTCGCTGCTCAAGTAGAAGTCGTGCTCTGTAGCTTTTTTCAGAGTTGAATTGGAGACAGAAGGACAAGAGCAGGAAATCGGGTGGAGGATGGAGCAGCCGTCGCCATGACACATTACATTTTTGGTCCTTTTTGTAATATCAATGTGCAAATGAGGATTTGAAGCTGAAATGATAGAAACAACCCCAATAGAACCCTCCCTCCCTGAATTTGCACCACTATACGATAAAACCATGCAGTTATGTAAAACGACAAAAAAAAGCATTAAAAACTAATTTGCTGGACTACGAAAGAATTTCAGCCAGCGGAAATTCACCCACTGACCTCCTTTCCACATCTCCGTCCCACAGACCCCGTTTCCCATCTCTTTTCCAATCCAAAGCCCAGCAGTGTGCCTCCCCAGGCCACCTTACCTCACAGAGCACCTCAGCGGTCACTCTTTGTGTCTGACGTGGCCGCACATCGGGCCGCATTACGTCACACTTCCTGTTCCCTTTGACAAAAGGGAGAACACCATCAGACTCACAGCACAGGACCCCATAACCCAGTTTTGTCTTGTTAACCCCAAACCTTGTTTTAAATTGGGAGCCATTTTTTTTGTCTGCAGGAAATGCACCGTGTGCAGACAGCACAGAGGATGTTAATGCACACACGCAAAACTGCATCCGCCCCAGCACCTGTGTGTTCCATTACAATTTACAAACCCTTTCAACATCACAAGTACTGAACTTTGTTGTCTCGCTATCTTTAGACACTGCAGGACACAGCAGCCATAACTAAATTTACAAAAACATGAATTGCAAAATGAAGAGCATAGACGGCCAACATAAATAGACAATAACTAGTATCACTGGTCCTAACGCTGTGACTTTGACCAAATTATTATTATTCAATTAGTATCCAAAAGGATGAAATGAACAAAATATAAAAGGTAGTTTTTTAAAAATTCTCAACAGACCTCTCCCTAACTGCTCCAGTATATGTTATCTGAAGCTTTAGTTCACAACTTCTTATTCAGAAATGTATGCAATTCTGAAAAAAAAAATCATTCGGCAAAAAAGTGGAATCTATGGTCTCAATTAGTCAGAATGGGGCATTAATGTTGGAGCTACAATGTGGGGATCCTGCTGGTAACACAGGTGTGTTTTTACATTAATGATATTGCATTCTTGCATATTGTATTGCTGACTAAATGTTTAGGCTCTGTAGATCACGTGCTTTGACACATGGTCCAGCATTAATATTTAGCGTTTTAAGCTGTAAATGTGTCCCCTGTACACCGAGAGTGGATATTTACTTAACTGTGCCAATCAGAAGACTATAGAAAACATGGATTTATTATCTGAAATAGAGCTTGGCAATATGAAACAATATATAAAACAATTTTATATATAGTTTGCCACACGTCGGCCCCCACTTAAGACATATTTGGAGTGCAGCCATTCTGTTGTCATGAAAGCAAAGTTCACACTACATGAGTGACTGGCAACAGGGATCACGCACTGCTAGATCCTTCACCAGGAGGATTCCCGATGAGGTCTCCGTCCTACGTGTTGTCGCTAAAACACGCGAGAACTGAAACCGGCGTAGCGCCGTCGTGCTTCACGTGTTCACAAGTCTTTACTATTATCCCCTGTGTAGATCAGTCACCGTGCTACGTGTTATGTCCATCGATGTAAACATCAAACACCCATCACCGAATCCCATCATCAGTGGGGACAGCAGTTTGCACTCATTTCAATATGTTAGGATAGTTTTTAAGAGCATATCCTTTAATGCAGTGTGTTTCCACTTCTTTCAAACTATACAGCGGTGTTGAAACAAGGCCGAGACGGTTATTTGTCACCACCACAGTTAAGTAGTGCTATTCTGAACTGCCAAACAGAACGGAAATCACTCTGTAAATGCGCCAGAGTTTGAATCAATTGTTACATCTTAATGCAAATCCAACACTCTGTAAGTACCTTCTTGAAAATGCTTTTACTTGAAGACCACACTTGCGCAATGCACGACCCTCAGCCACGGGCCAGTGAGCCACGGGGCTATCATTGGCAGCCCACTGCTCCCTATATACAGGGATGGGTCAAATGCAGAAGTCAAATTTCGTGTATGTGTATGTGTATATGACAATAAAAAGGGTTTCTTGGGTTTCAAATCACTCATTGTCAGTGCAGGCTACATTTGAGTGTGACATCAGAGATTTAAAAGCACTCTCGCTAACAAGTGACTCACAAGTGACTCACACACGCACAGTCGATGCGTTAGAAGGTATTGGGGGAGTTGAAAGTCGAGAAATATATACAAATGAAGTGCTTGATCGTGTCTGCAGTGATGGATGCTTTTGGTGACTACCAGGTCAGTTTAATGCATTGAGACGTGCTTCCTGTTTGTTATTTAGATGAAGCAGTTGGCTCCAAAACCAAACAAAGGTGGACGGCATGAGTGAAATTCTCCTGGTGACCCTAAAGATCAAAATGAAAATGTGACTCTACCCTCTAATATTGTTAAACAGTTTGCGAACAATCAGTCTTCACCGATTACTCCCCTGTCGATTCCATGCAATGATGTCATGGTACTGCAGAGTCTGTTTATCCCGTAGTGATGGTGTTCATGCCTGATGAAACGCAGAGAGATGTCTTTGCACTCTGACGGCCCATGATTGACGATTTCATAATAAAGTTTGAAGTTGGATCTCAAACTCCTGCGCTTCCAGCCCATGTTCAATAACGCAGAGGGTAATTCTCATTTTGTTTTCACTGTATTAATCTTTTTGACATCATATTCCTGTCAGGCGTTTTCTGTCAGGCTGGAGGGAACATTATTTTTTACACAACCAGTCATTAGATGATGAAGTATCCGCCCGGCTGACCTTATGTTTTAAGCCATGCTAGCAGCGTGGCTTTACAGTGGGTTAGTCAACCACTTATGTCCGGACCGACATATCTCAGCAACTATTGGAAGTAGTTGTATAGTCATTTTGACATTGGTCATTTGAACACTCATTATCCCCAGAAGATTAACCCTAATGATCCCCTGATTTTTCCTCGACAGTTTTTGGATTGATTGCCATGAAATTGAATTCAGACATCCAGGTTGTAGTAACTTCCGTGATCCCTTCGTTTTTCATTTCTTGGCATCATCAGGTCAAAATTGTATTTTGTCCGAATCTTTTGGTTCGTGACCAAATATCTGCGAGGTGTATGACCCTATAGGATAGTGACCGTTGGTAAACCTTAAAGGAGCTATATTCGACATTCAGAGCTTTAATATCACAGCTAACAACTGCTGTAGAGATATGGTGGAGTCATGGCGTCCTGAGCAGAGAATGAAGTCACTCTCCCTGTGTGTGTGTTGAAATCCAAGCTTCTCTGTTATTTTTTTTTGTTAGCCGGGCCAGGCCTGTTAGTGCAAGTGAATCCCTCTAGCTAGCTAACCACCACCGCTCTGCGCTGCACTCATACGGCGGATACCGCTGGTAACCCTGTCCCACTTCCATGGGTTGCTGTTGTGGTAAAGCCCACCGTCCGGCTCCCCACCAGGTTAACACTGTTAGCCTTGTCAGCACTGGTGCTATGGTTTGCAATGTTAGCGCTGTTAGCTTCTAGCTGAAGAGCCATGCTCAGGTAATCCTGGCTCAGGCTCTGAATCATAGATATGCTCTCAGTGCCGTATAATGCCCCTTTAAACCTTCAAATTATCAACATGTTAGCTAGAGTGTGTACAGTAATACCCTGCATGAATAAAAGTGGTTGTTATTCTTGTTTTTTTTTTGTCTGCAGTATGACGGTGGCAATGAAGTCCCAGACCAAGTGGGAGGTGATGGACAGGACAGATGTTTTCTACGCTGGTGTAGCTCTCATGGTGCTGGGCACTGTGCTGGTGGTTGGCAGCTTCCTGGCTCTGGGATTCACTGGAACCTTCCTTGGTGGGTAACAAATAAAGTGTCAATTATTAAAGGGGCAGTCCACTGATTTTACATGTCAACATATTTTTTTTAGTCACTGGAGGTAGTATTCACTTTGTGAAAACAGTTGTTTAATGACATTTAGAGTAATCCCAGCTGTGAGGACTTGAAAGATAATTGCACCATGGGAAGTGTCGGATCTAGTGTTGGAGCTTGACCCACACTTGGGACTTAAAGTCAATACATCTCGGCCTCTGCTGCTTACATTTTTCTTTTGTATACTTTCTTATGCCAGTTAAAGTACCTTTCTTGAAAAGGTTTTTGTTTACAGTCAGCTTCTTACTAAGAGGGATAGGATCCGACATTAATAACATTTTCTTTGACCAAAGATAGAACAGTTTTAGTTATTTTACTTGAGAGAATCTTTAGAGAAATGTTATATATGTAGCCCAATATCACAAATCCCAAATTTGCATATTTGTTTTGTTTAGATTTAGATTTAGATTAGATTTGTTTTCTACATCAACCGACATCTGTTGTCCTTGGACCATTACATTGGATAAGAACCCCCCCCCAAAAAAAAAAAAAACTTAAAAGGGAAAAAAAGGAAGAAAAGTCAGTCAAGGAGAGCAACTGAGGAGGGATCCCTCTCCCAGGATGGGTAACAGTGCAAAATGATGTCATGTGTACAGAATGAATAACACCATAACATTACAAAATAGTCAATCCGTATGATGAAAATTCTACAAATAATGAGTGGTAATAGCAGTAGTAGCACTAATAATAGCAGAAATAGTAATAGAAAAAGTATTACTGCTGATGATAACTGCAGCAGTGGTGGATATAATTTAAGTTAAGTTAAGAAGAAAATAATCATCCGTCAGCCCTTTAATCGTCGATGCACCGATTGCCAATCAGCACACAAGCCTCTTAGCCTTGTTATTGTCTTTATTACAACCCTCCATTTGTTTTCTACAATATTCTGTGACCTGTATACAATTTATTTATCTGTACTACTATTTAATAAATTGGCAATTAGGGATCATATGGGGATACAGGAGAAAATAAATGTGCCCACATGTGTTATATCCTAACAAGGACTTATAAATGCACTTACGACGTGTGACTTCAGACATATCTGTGCCAATTTACAGAGCCTATGCATGTAAACAAACACTTCCATGTCCTCGCATACAGAACATGCAAATATGTTCACATCTGCCTCTGAAGGCAAACATGATTGTTTTCATTTGTTTCGTCGCCATCCAGATAACGATTCAGATGAGCACATGTGTGACAGTATCGCCGTTATGACCGTTTGGCAAGCTCTGGTTTCTAGGTCAGTCATTTCTGTGAGTCATCTCCAAGATCCAGACAGTCTCTCAGCTCCTACGCCATCTTTGTCCATCACTCTATGTAAATGGCTTTAACTGTAACTGTAACTAACTGTATATCCACTTTGTCTACATTAAGATTTGCAAGCTTAAGCACTTAACCAGGTCAGTTGGCCAGCTGTCTATAATATTTGTATGTATTAGTGTAATGTACAATTGCAGCAAGTGTTTCCTTTAGGTGGCTCGGGGTGGCCTGTGTGGAACTGGTCTGACAATAGGCCAATTTTGACATGTCCCAGTAGGAAGAGCACACTTGTAAATAGTATAATTAATGAAGGCTGCATTCCATTTAGCTGCATTATTTTGAGGAATTCACTTAGCATAGTCGTTATGGCTGCTATCAATTAAAAAACGAAGATGACAGTATCAGTGCCCTCAAAGTGATGGCAATATGTGAATGATGGGTATCATTCTGTTCAGACATCTCCGTGTCCCGGCTGTAGGGCTTGTAGATGCTGCGGTTGTGGGCCAATCGCATGTCTCTTTAAAGTCTCGCAGTGATATGGAAAACCGATCAAATTGTATTTTTTTTCTAGATCTGGGCACAAAGATGATCAGTTGCAGGTATCGTATGACAGGAGAAGATTTGCCACTGCTGGGTTGTTTTGGTCGTTACCTTAACAGTATCGGTTACCGATACCCAGCCTTAGTAGTCTTGCTCCCCAGAGGATATGCCTTTTCCAATATGTTCCCAATATGTTGATCTATAAATTACATTACATATTTGGTATGTAATGTAATTACATACATACATTTGACTTTTGAACAAATGTTAAGTTACTCTGGTGGTATATGTTTCTGCTTATATGTAAGATGATTTTTAGTTTCCTTTCCGATTCCTCCTACCGTGGGCACCCACAAACATAAACACAAACAAACTAGAGGCTACAGCCTGTGGGTGTGTGTTTGTAATTAGATTTTTCTTATTTACTCCGTTTTAAGCCCCTCACTGTGACCTGGTGATTCAAACTGATGGCACAGGGTTAGAAACAAAGATCCAAGCACAATCAAATCACACCGACAGTGTTTACGTATTAGCCAGCCGGCCCAGGGTGTAAACTCCGATCACGCACTACCGATCACAGACCCACTTCTCCGACCTCTAGGCTACCGCTGTGCTTTCACTACTCTTCAGCAAATCCAGCTTGCCATTGTTTGCAACCACAATGAAACAACAGTGACGCAGGAACATTGGGAAAAATGTGTTATGCTTGGCTTTCAAATGAATTGGAAATGAATTGAATTGGAAAAGCCAATAGTTGCTTTGAGGTCAAAAATGAGGTTAGCGTATTGTTATGCTAGTTTTCTATTGCAAACCAAACCCATTTGTTTATATAGTCTCTTATATTCTCCCCCACCTATGGTGCTTAAATGAGCATACATAGTAAAAATTGTTATACAACTTGGGCAATACCAGCCTTCCTTTGAACAGGGCAAGCAGCACCCCATGCGTAATTCAGTTTTACGTGTGTGTGTGTGTGTGTGTGTGTGTGTGTGTGTGTGTGTGTGTGTGGATGAGGGAGGCATAAACGAAGTATTAAAATGTCTGTGTGTTTGTGTACACACAATAGCCGGGGAACATTATTACATAGCAATAGTAGGTTTCCCAGGTTTCAGAGGGTACAGTGAGCGGGTGTCCTGCTGTAGTTCAGCTGCCCCCAATGTTTGCACAAGAAGCCACACATTTGTTTTAAATCAGTATACAGTACATATGTGATTGTTTTGACTTGGTTCGGCTAATTTCGCACTCCGCTGCAGCAAACTGCATTATGCTTTGGGTGGCTAGTTATGGCTGCATGCTCAAATTTTCTCAAAAACACCTTTTGTTTCATGTTTTATAGTCCCGGTAGCGGCTGCTGCTGGTGAACACACAGCTCAGCGCATCGCCAACCCCCATCTGCATTGATCACAATGAGAGCTGATCTGTTGTGTGAGACATGCGAGTGAGAAACACTTTCCAGTCAGCAGCACACCACATAAGTTGACACTTGCTCTCCATGAGAAACACCGACTCAGAGGCCTAATCATGTTTCCTCTTTCAAAAAAGAAAAACATTATTATAATGTATATTTCCTCATACAAAAAAGTTAATATGTTAATATTTTCTGGCTGGTGCAGTAATCAAACTTTGACTCCAGAGTTTTCACACGAGGTCATGTCCATGTGGTCCTCGTGTTAACATCGGTAGCAGCCAGTGAGACGGAGCGGCAGCCAGACGGTGCAGCAATAACAAGGCCGCGTGCTGCCAAAGTCCTGTTCCCTGGCACTGGATCCTCAGTCTGACTTCAGGGTCTGCTGCTTTTGTCAGAAACGTGTCAGAAATGATCGCAGCGTGACAAGTGGCCCAACGTGGTGAGTTTGAAATGAGACATCGAGGTTGTAACTAAGGCAACAGTGTGCTACTGTCCACCAGGTTTAGGAATGATTCCCTGTTCATCTGTGTTTCTTGATCAACCGGCGCCTGGAGGCAAATTAACGACCAATGCACCTCTAGAGAGGTTTCCTGCAAGTGTCTGCTGGGATTGGCATCAGCCTAATGCGTCACGGGACTGGAGAAGCCAGTAAAAAGTGACAGGTTTTAGTCATGAAATGGTGTGTTTTTGTCAAATATCATCTCAACCTGTTACAGCATTAACCCACTGTGAATGTGTCTGTTATGGTTTTCCAGGTGATTACTTTGGCATCCTGATGGATGAGAAGGTGACAGGCTTTCCCTTCAACATCACGGAGAACCCGATGTACTGGGGGAGCACTGCCAACTACCTCGGTCTGGCACTTATGTAAGTGTACGTGTGTGTGTGTGTGTGTGTGTGTGTGTGTGTGCGTGTGTGTGTGTGTGACTGGAAATGAGTAGAGGTCACTTCCCACAACTGTATCTGAGGTCAACAAGAGCGTGATTTGAATTTGATGTATAATGCATCACAACAACTTATCTCTACCAGGTTTGTTATTAACCATAACTGAAGGTTGAACTAAAGGAAAGTGTCTTGCCGCCTGCTGACGTGCGTCATGAAGTGCGGTCATGCAGAATGGCATTGATACTGAGCTGCGACCTGCAAATAGAAGAGAATGTTGTTTTCTGCAAGTTGCAAATCACTTCTCTCTTTTAAAAAGGTGGGGAGGTTAAAAATTTTACGCGTGTCTCTATGACAACTGTGACCAAATCTCTCGGAGCCCGGCGTGCGTAGTTGCTATGCAAGCGATCAGGCTCCCATTTTTCCTCTCACGGACTCCAATGCCAAATTATACCTTCTCTAATAGTCCCTTTTGTTGTGACTGTTTTGCCTCACTTTCTCTCTGCACTTTCAGCCGTGTGTCCTCTGCACTGCAAGTGATCGAACCAGGAAATTGCCTCATTTCACTACCTCCTCTTCTGTCTGTTTCTCTCCCTCACCTCCGCTTTCCTCCGTCTTTCTCTACCCCTCTATCGTTCAGTCGAGATACAAGCAGCAGCCACGGCCTCAGACGTTCCTGCTGTCTTCCGTCTCCGTCCTTTGTCCCTTGTTTTGTTGTTGTCCTCGGGATCCAGAGTAACACAAAAAAGCCAGTATGCTGACGCAAACGTCCATGTGTGTCTTCAGTGCTCGATAATCACTCGGGTTTGATGAAAAACATCCCAATTGGTATTTTTTTTTTAATTTTATTTTTTCAGTTTTAAATGAAGTCACAAGTTTGGGAGCATTTTGTCTTCCCTGTAACTTATAATGACGGGATGAGGGTGGTGGACAACAGCGTTACGGTATGTAGGCGTTGTTTAACAAGAAAGACATACGACAACGGCGTACATCGGACATGTCCACACATGAAGCGCCACCATTCTGGTCTGTCAGTGACGGGGGCCAAGTCACAACAACAACAACAACAACAACTTATCATCGCGGCTTTTAAGTTTGTGGTAGAATCAGGCCAGGTTAAAGCTATTACAACATCTATTGGGGTCTTTATTGCTGCAGACATGAGGCCATTCTCCGTTGTGGAAAACAAAGGATTTTCAAAATCTGCTTTCCTTCTTTTTTGTTGTTTTTTCACTCTGTTGATGCCGTAGACACTGGCTGTTTTTTTCTTTCAATATTGATCAAAGGAAGAGGGTATCAACATACCACATGTTGCACTTAAACTTATTTTTATTTATTTATTTCATTTTGATTCAAATTGGACACCTTAAATATTTTTTTTGTCTCCTCCCCTTTTCTTTGCTGATCCGAAAAATGATCCGAACCGTGACTCAAAAACCGCGATACGAACCGAACCGTGAGTTTTGTGATCCGTTGCACCACTAGTTGTCACGTTGGAGTTACTTCATCCGTGTTGACTTCAAACCGTTCTCATCAATATTCTTTATACTAACAATAGATCGCTTGTATGTGAAAGGGCTTGCTCCTAATCAGAAACCCACAGAGAGGTATCATCTGACTAGGCAGTCCCCCTGAGCTCTGCGGAGCTTTGTAACATCTTTCAGCTCCTTGTTGTTGGAGAAATCTGTGGTCATGTAAAGGACGTCAAATAGCATGAGATAGCCTCAGAGGTTTGAGTTTGTGGAGTATTAAAATTCAAAAAAACATTTTGATTTCAACCGTGTTAACTGGAGGCTCTTGCGTGAATGCTGGTTGCTCGTATCATGATGGCAGAACGGAACAGAATGTAGGTGTTCTCATAAAAACTAAATACATACTCATCTGTGTTTCTTAGCCACGCCAACCATTTACCTCAGTTACTCAGGACAACCACAGACACATTTGGCTGAAAGTCACCAGTTAACATGGGCACTCATTAAACCTGAAACAGTCGTGATCCTGTCGGAATTCTGTTGAACTTGAGTCCGCTGTTGGAATATCAATTGTAACACCGATCACGCAACAAGCAGACTTTTTGATGCTGTTTTTAATTCAATGTTTGAAGCTTGCTTACTTGTCTGAATGGATGGGGCCAAATGGTTCGTTCATAAGCAAAAAATAAACAATCTTTCGAGTGGCTGGTACATTTTTAACATTCACAAGCCATAAAACTTGCATATGCTACCATGTAACTACTTGTTATAGAAATGGAATATTCCAGGCACGCTATAAAACCTTCAACCCTACAAACACATTCTGTCTGTATCCTGTAGCATCAGTAAAAAAAACAAAAAGATATTATGGAGGAAAATAGACAACTGATAAAAATATCCTTTTTCTTCTCGCCTTGACTGAGATGCAGTTTTTTATTCTGTTAAAAAAGAAACATTGAAATTACAGGAATATTGTGAAACACTGCTCAATACCACACAGAGACCCGTTAATCACAGTATTCCATATGTGGAGCTATTTCATATTCAAACACCGGGGGAAAAAATATATTTTGCACTTTTCTTCCTCTCATTGTCTTTCTTATTTTTTTTCTTTGTGTAGAATCACAAAAACGGGAAGAAAAAGAAATGGATGTGCTTCACTGTGACTGTGAGAGTAACTCTCACGCACACAATGAACACACTCCTTGCAGCTACAACTGAAGGACATGAGGTGGGGGGGAAAGAAAAAACTCCTCACTCACTCCCTGTTCACTCCGACAAGCCCCTTGCTGTGCCAGACAATCTCACCCACACAGTATGCACATTATGCACACTTGCTGGCCCTCTCTGTGCGACCTACAAAGGAGATTAGCTAATACACATGCACTCAGACTATTACAAGAGAAGGAGCTGGACAATTGCTTCTTAATGAATATGATGGAAGCAAAAATTGTTGCATTATGCCATTCTTTTTTGTGTGCTTATATATCATGTAATTATGCGTGGAGCATCGCTGCAGAAAAAGTTTTTTTGAAGGGAACATATATATATTAGTGCTGGGCAAGTTAACGCATTTTTTTATTTTGAAAGTCCGTTGCTCACTGGCAGCGGTGGAGGAATGGAGACTACTGGACATCGTTGCGGTAAAGTCAGCAGACACTCAGATCTCCGTGGTCAACTCAGTAGACACTTACACTTTAGTGCACCTATATGCTGAAATTCACGGTAAACACATTTAAATGGCACAGATCGGGAGCGAGCGAAGGAAAGGTAGTGGAAAGATTAACGTGAGACAACATCCGGTTTCTTCAGACGAACATCCGGTTTTCAGAATAAGATGCCAACAAAGTATGAATTATATTCACATTAAGTATAAAACATGCTGCATCTCGTGAGTTAAAGGGAAAATACACCTAAATTGTGCGTAAAGTGTCTTTATTCTTTGATCGCTGGGTAACCATCATCACCTCGGAGTTACAGCATTGTATTGATGAACAGTAGAGCTGCATTCACATGCTCTGACTGTCATGAAGACAGACATTTTTGCTGAAACGTGCTGAAACATTTTATTCCTGTTGCACAGCAGTGGAACGTTTCACATAAAGTCAGCACACTGAGCACAGATAGTGAAGAGATAGAACTGCTACTGTCTAAAGGGAATACTGCTGTTTTAGTAAAAGTGCGCAATACACTACTTTTGAATTCATTATTGAACTTTGCCATAACAATGCGATTAATCGCAAAAAATCCATGCAATTAATCGCGATTAAAAATTGTAATCGTTGCCCAGCACTAATATAAATATATATATATATATATATATATATTTTCCTGACAGATTAAAATAGATGTACGTATGTTATAAGAAAGAAGGTTATGAAAGCATGACAGTTGGCTGCCCTCCTCCCTATGAGTTGAAACATTCAGGCATCTGTCTAAATTCTCATCGGTAATATCTATAAACGGGGAACATCTGCTTCCTCCTCACATCTGTACGCCTCCGTTACACCGTGGAATTGTGGTTGATGTAAAATAGTTCCCACATGAAACTGCTCACGACAAGGTCTGTGGATTACCTTGAGTAACCGGGTCATTATTTCAGGAGAGAGACATTGCTGTTGAGTTTTTCAAATGTCTTTTTTTAATAGTTTTTTGATGGTGATTTGAGCATCGCAAGCCGAGTGCCATATAGTTCCATTATATTGTAAAGAAGGCAGACACCTCTACAGTCAATATCTCCAAAAACAAAAACATCTAGAATGATAAACAGCACTACAGGTAAGAGGACAAATGTGTATTTTTGATTGTGGAGGGAACTGTCCCTTTGGCACGCAAGTTATCTATTCCCATTGCCCCCTGTCCACTTGCACTTTTTCTCACACTTTGAGGAACCCCCTCCAGGTCACTTGTAAACTTTACATCGCCGGAGTGACTGACAGCGTGGTACAATTTTGCCCTTCAGTTACATTAAAGACCATTATCATGTGTTGTGCCTGTGAATAGTGTGAATAGTGTGAATAGTGACGCTCTGGCTTTCAAAAGGGCGCTCTTTGCTGCTCTGGGCGAGATCCCGTCGCTCCACTCCCCTGTTCTAACCCACGCTGTTGCTTTTTCGGCTCAGGTTGACAGTACAGTGTGTGTGTGTGTGTGTGTGTGTGTGTGTACATGTGGAGAATGCAAATGCAGCAGAGGTATAGAGTTCAGTCATCAACCCGGTCAAATACATCTCACGCCATGGCTTCATGGACAAAACATATATTCATGGCTGTAGTGACCGTTGCTTCCCAATAAAAAAGTCACTACGGTTGCTGTAATGTTTGTTCTGACGCGTGCCATAAATAACGAAGTCCAGTTTCCAATATAGGCATTTTATTTCTCACATAATCAGAGTTCCACCACTTTCTCTTCAGTTATGCATTTTCTCCATAAACCAATAAATCATAACATTTACATTCGTTAAATGTGCACGCGTCAGAACAAACATTTCAGCAACC